CTGCTACCATCCAGCTACCCGGCCCATGGCAAGTGTCAACATTCGGTCGGCACTAGCGTAAATTTGAAAAAAAAAAACAACCTCAAGTTCCCCCAGGTAGATAAAACGGGAGGTTTCGTAGTAATTAATGACGAAATGTACAAAAGGAAAATCAAAGCCGCGGTCGATAAAAACTACACAGCCATTAAGAAGAGGCCTTCAGGATCTCTCCGCAGCAAACTGAAAGAACTATGCGTTCAGCTAAACCCACCAAAAATGAAAAATTCGGTAACAGCTCCAGTCAACCAGTATCTGCAAGTATTCTTCGCAGCTAACTCGCATAAGCCGGACGTCCCTCTCCGCACAATCGTATCTGAGATAGGATGCTGGTAGAAGAACCTCGCTAAGTTTCTCCAGAAACACCTTTCCGGCGTACATCCTTCACAGCCTTTTTAAATCAAAAACTCTCAGGAGCTTATCAACGCCCTAGAACCGGTTCATACTGGTGCTCCTAACTTAGATTCCTTTTCCCTAGACATAGAAGATATGTTCTACAACCTGGACATTTCAATTCTTCTTGAATCCGTAGAAGAAGCCGTCACCGAACACGGAAACTGTAGCTTCCAAAACTCATCCGGAGTGTCACTTTCCGGCTTCCTCGAGCTTCTGCAAGTCTACCTGAAATCAACAATCATCGTCACGAACGAAAAATCTGGATACAGAAATCCGGGGTGTGCGTATGAACTTTCTTTGCACCCATATTAAGTGAAATCTACCTGTCTTATGTCGGTGGAACCATACAGGTAAAGCTTAAGAACACTAGCCCGGAATGCACCGAAGTCCGCTACGTTGATGACTACCAGATTACTCACCCTAAAGCCTATAAAGTCAAGGTGATCGTGGCCGCGTTTGAAAGCGCAGGAGGCAAACTAAAATTCAAAAAGGAAAATTCATCCCCGGACGGGCTACATTTTCTAAACCTGAGATTTAAAAAAAACAACAAAAAAACAAAAAAAAAAAAACGAAGGTGTTGGCTGGCCATTAAGGCAGCGTTCAGAAAAGCCAGTGCTCCCTTTTGAGAGTGCTCATTCAAAGTCTGTTAAAATAGGTATAATCAAGACGTTAATCACATCAGCAAAAACAAAATCCTCTTCACATTCGGCAACAGATATCATAAATAGTCAAACTCGACGGCTCCTGAGTTCTGGATATCCGGTGGAACGCCTTGTGTCCGTTTTCCGCCAGCTTATTAACCCAAAAGTAACTACAAAAACGTCTTTCAGTCGAAGGATAGCCAGCATACCATACATTCATAATGCTTCCCATCGTATCCAATTTATTGCTTCACGCTATGACATGAAAGTTGTATTTTCCAGTAGATTCAAATTGGCAAGCATGTGCAACATGATCAACCGAAAAGAAGCCAAGCAGGCTTGCGAAAAAATGCACGCCACGCTTTTCTGGGCCTGCAGCACAGAAAAAGTTTACTCCATCCCCCTCAAATGCGGAGCCGAGTACTTAGGACAAACCGACCGAGATATAAATGACCACTTACGTGAGCACAAAAACGAAGCCACTTCAAGAACTGATAACCCCATTCATCCTATCGCGGTTCACGCGAACGAATGCATTGGATGCGCGCCTGACTTCGCAGGAACCAAGACAAAAGTGGAACACCGCAATCGCTACGGACGTGAGATAGTCGAATCCTTTCTCATCCAGAACGCAGAAAACGTTTCATTGACCTCAGTAACCTTATCAAGACGGGAATCAGAATTCTTCAGGCCTGAACTTGAAAAATATCGCAACTCCACTTAAAAACCACACCATCACGGTAGTTCTGCCCGTGCCTCGTGGGTCTTCCTCGCCCTTTCCATCTCCCAGCTTTGGTTTTTCTTCCCCCTTATCACCCTTTCCATCTCGCAGTTTTCCTTACCCCTTGTCACCCTTTATATCTCCCAGTTTGCCTTCCCCCTTATCTTCCTATCTTAGTTGGGGTCTCGTTCCGGGTACAATTTTGCTGCCCAAAATAAACGTCGTTGTTAAATGAAAGAACGTGGTTGTCCTGTGCTTGTCCTCCGTGTTTTAGTCTTTCGATTTTAAGATATAGTAATACCGAGATAGTGGCATGAGTTTACAGATTCACAGTGGAATGTCGGTTAGTGTATATGCCGAAGGGCGCGCGCGTTGCCGGGAAACCCGCATTAGTTTGCAGTTGTTAGGGTTTAGTTCCATACACCATTTTTGGCACCAAAGAGTAATATTACTTAAATCAAATTGCAAAAGGCGTTCATCATCATCATCATGAACTTCCCAATAAATTACACAGTCATCCGCGTATAAATGCATGGAGGAAGAAACACAGCTTGGTAAATCATTAATGAATATTAGAAAAATAAACATTTTAATCTGATTGCTTTTGTCAACAGCCGCTTGCGGCCGGCTTTGAGTAAACGTTGCTTTTTATCTTCTTTTTAAAGTACAACGTGCATGCAAAACTCAGTGTCTAAAATAAATTTCCAATAAAGTTCTAAACTGCATTTTTGATCTGTAGTTCACAGTCATTTGGGCGTCTAAAGGGCTGACGGGGTATAAAATACTGAAGGATCTTAACGGCTGAAGGTGTCGAAAGGGCTGAAAGGGTGTGAAGTACTGAAGGGTGTGAATATCTGGACATACAGATAACATGGTGAAAGATGCGGTGGGCGTTCGGGGTGCAATCGCGGTGCCAGACACAGGACACGAGGACCGTGAACACGAACATGACAGTTCATACATGGCGGCGTAAGTCACCGAACACCAGACTCGAGAATTAAACAATTTTGACCATGACTCGGCCCCTTTCTTTGTACAAGCGGTGAGCGAGAATTCCCCATTTGGCGTCACAACCTGGGCTCGCCGCTTTTCTGGAGTTGGCTTGGCTCTGGTGTCGAGCTGTACCTGGCGGCCGTGAGAAAGACGTCTGACGAACGGAAGGTCGGACTTCAACTTGGGCGGCTAGGCCTTGTCCAAGCGCCGAGGAAACTGGTTTCTGAAACCTGAAGGCCTGAGAAGCGTTTTCTGCCTGGAGCTCATCTTCCAGTGCTTGAACGGGCAGGTCTTGGAGACATTTGCACCATCGGAAAGAAAGAGCGCCACCGCTTCTTTCCCTTCGTTGAACAAGCTCCTCAGCGGCGTCAGCAAAGGTCGGCTATTGCAGTTGCAAATATGCTGTCTGACATGATTTTGAAGAGCCTCACGCTACTGGACAAGATTTTATAAAGCTTGTGAACTCTGAAAACAAAGAAAGATTTCATGTCGCCTTCGCCCATGAAAAATGTCTCGCTGTGACGCTTTTCCCAGAAAAAAAAGAAGAAAACCACAGAAGCGCGCTATCTTCTGACAATTCTCAGTCTTTGCCTGGTTCTTCATGGTGGTTCGCTGTAAGTATTTTCAAGTTTAGCTTCATTATTAAGAAACCGATTCTTGAATATTGGGACAAACCAGATGAGAGAGTTCTTCCCTTATTTTTGCAGTTTATTAAGCTAAAACGATACCCTAACAACACATCTAGTAGTATAGTTAGCACCAGCAACCTGTGCTACGGTGCTGCATGAAGACCTCTTTACCTGATGAAGAAAGGTGCCACAGCTAAATGGACAGCACATTCAAGAAGAATGCCGACGAGGTCGCGAACGCTGAAGAGTCTCGATAATGCCAAGAGGAGTTGGAGGACATTGAGATGGAGATCGTCACGTGCAGCGTCAACCTGTTCATTTTGACATACAACTGTCCTGTGCTTTCGCCTCTCTACCGTTGTCGCGTTTGCGGCGCATCGGTGGGAGACTTCGCAAGGGTGAACTGATTAGAACTCAAGCCTTATAATTATTGCTTAATTTATTTTAACCCAAAAGGATGGCCTTTGTTATGACCGTTTTCTTTTTTCCCACGTGCTAACCCTGGCGAAAGCTAGAAGAGTTTTAAATGTTAGTGGCGCCATTGATGATGCTCAGATGGGGAGAGAGCCCGGTGTAAAAGCAGGCAAATATTTCGGTATTTTAATTTTTCTAAATTTTAGGACATTTTAAAGCCTAATGATAAACTTGCCTAGGTTAATGTTACTTGTGAGGCTTTATATCTTACTACGAATGTTTGGCGGCGTGCGCAAAATAAATATTTCATTGTATTTTTGAGTACTAGTTTCTTCACCTGTGGAGTGTTGTAGGTCCTCGCAGTGCAACAGAAATCGTGTTTGCAAGACCATGATATTCCTGTGCAGAGTTTGGTAACGACTCCAGTATCGAACTCTAGCTGTTGATTTTGGGAAGCACGAACACTCCAGAAGGAGGACGATGTGGGGATTTGGACATGTGGGTAACATGCTCAAAGAGGCGGCGGACGCGAGGGCTGCTATCGCGGTGCAAGGCACGGTTCACGAGGCGCGTGTAAAAGAAGAGGACCGTATGCCGCCGAACACCAGGCTCAAGATTTGTAGAGTTTCCTAGATGGCTCATCTCCTTTCTACGGACAAGCCGTGAGCGAGAATTCCACAAGGGGTTTGAAGGCCTGAGGGGTTTGATGTACTGAAGGTGTTTGAAATGCTGAAAGGGTCCAATAATACATTACAGCTGAAGTAATATTTTTAATGGGGTTGGCAAGCTCCATACCTTGAGTGCAAAAATGTTATATCTCCGGAAGAAAATGAGCTAGTACCTTTTACATACAGTAATGCTCCTCCCAAGAGCATGGCTTTCATTAATTGTTTGCATAAATAAATCTAAAAAATTACCCGGACTATTAATGTATGATATGACGTGGAAATACCCCACCTGTAGAAAAACCGTATTTATCAAAACCTGTCGTAGCGCAAATTACCCTGAAGACAATTCACTCTGTGGCAATTGCTTTTCTTACACTCACTTAAGCTGAGTAGTGCGTTACCGCTTGAGTTTACACGTATTTCCAGTGACTGACGTGTTTCATTCAAATTTTATTTCGCGTATTGATTTTGGCATATAATAATGTAATCCTTGTTACCTTAGTGGATGTAACATCAGACACAAGCTTAAAGGATATGGGGATGATTATGATTATTTCGTCCTTCCCTTTAACAAAGGTATGAAAAACTATTTCAAATTCTTATGCTTCCCAAGTTCTTCGAAAACATACCCTGATAAATATTATGTACCAGAAATGCTTAAATGAAAATATCAAAAGGCTTTTGAATTTGCCAAAGTATATAGTTATGTTATCTATTTAACATCCTAAGGCAAATACGCAATCGGCACCAAACAATTTTGATATGTAATTAGCTATGAATGTAAATTTTGTTTGTCAGAATATATAATGCAGGTTGCGAGAGATTGCGAGAGCCAAAACTGATATGTTTATAATGAATGAGTTCTACATAACTTGATCTAAAGGACCCCATCGTGAGAGTCAATCCAGCAATTTATTTTAGGAAAACACGGGGAAACGACTCTTATTTATAGCAAATTTCTTCCACTGCTGCATTTTTTGCGAAACAAGTTCCCATATAAACTAAGCCATTTTTGGCGCAGGATTTACATGTTTAGGCAGCCAATATGACAGCACAATATTATTTTTTATCAGAATATTTTTTGTTTATTTCTTGATAAGGCAATTTACTCCTGAATATTTGAACAGACACTGAGAACATTGTTATTTGAGGCCTCGTGATTCAGTCTGAACAAGGCAATGTCATAAATTACTATTGTGTTTGTTAACCATGTTTTTATTTCTGGTAACCACCCAAAATAATATTGTTAAAAACGCACATAATGAAAGAAACTTAGACAATGAATTATAAAGCATAAAAAAGTTAACACACGTTGTTTTCGCTAGTAATACTCAAACTCATATTTATTTTTATCTGAATGTTGCAAAAAGAAAACATTGATTTAGAGTTCTATTGATGATAGGTTAACTATTTTGAGATATGTTTTTGTGAGCTTTTATTCAACGTTTTTGAACGTCTTACTATGCATCTACAGATTTGCACACCGAAGTCAGCCGAAAACGGTATTTTTGCCTGCTTGCGAAATCTATAATATTAATAACAAAGACTACATGTTTGTTCCTGGACACTATGTTGAACTACTTATAGTAATTAGTAATATTGCTAATAACCTTATTAAATTGCTCATCTATGACAGTTCCAGCGCACAAAAAGCTCTTGATTTTTAATTGGTTTGAAAACTGAAGACTGAAACCTTTTATTGATTACCCGATAACTCAAAGTTCAGGAATCTTAATGACTAAAAACATGCGCAACGTCATAAAGCCATTTTGATTGTCAAAGTTATTACCTTCCGGTGCAATCACAATTTTTCCGATGGGGAATAACGTCGCTATAAATATATCACGATCTTTGGAGGCGCTGGCCATTATAAGTACTTTATTTTGAAACCTTTGATTAATTTACTGATTAATTTAATTTAAACTAATACTTTGAGTGACTGTAATATCTGGGTAAAACCGAGATTTTAAGATGCGTCACTACAAGTGCCTTAATATAGCGAAAATTCACCAATGAGAAATGAAGCATGGCTGTATTAAGTGAGAACTTGCATTCTTCTCAAAAACAGCTTGACTTGGGCACAGTAAATATTCTCAGTATATGTCTGCTTCTAAAGCCACAACCAAGAACGAGCAGTTAGACCTGTAGAACTAAAGACTGAAAAAGTTTCTTAATTATCCCAATAACACAAAGGTTAGGGATGTTCATGACTAAAAACTCAACACCTACTAAATCTCCTTTAGTTTTTAGATGTTTGACTCGGTGTCGATGGAGGAGAACTAACGGTGAGGTTTCTTTAGGATTAATAAAATATACACTTTTCAATTAATTGTAATAAACACTCCAGATATAGTTACATTGTGCAGCAAAAAGCCACACCCATGGTTTATTGTTAGCATGATTTGACAGGTCGACAGCTTGCAGGGTATATATTATCGGATCTGAAACATACTCACAGAATATTAAAATATGCGCGAATATGGTTACAAATCCAACACGTGGGACAGATATAGAACTAAAATAAATGCTTAATGAGGTAAACTTGAAATTGTAACTAGGACAAAACAAGTATAGCACACAGTGCGACTGCGGGGAAGACAATCGATTCCTAGGCAGCGAGCTATGGTTGCTTTTATGCACACGATACGTACAGCATAATCCAACCTAGAACACACGACAACTACTTAGAGGCAGTAGCAACCTTTCAAAAAAGCGATCTCCACATCAGTGAAAAACCTGACAGACGGGTTTGAGCGCCACATATCTGCGTGGCGGCCGCGTGTGCTGCCGATTCCGCGTAGCACGCGGATATATTACCGACACTCAAGTGGATCCTTTGTGTCAAAAAACCGAATGTTTTCTACGTGTCGAGAGATATCCGACGAATTAGCCACCTGAACCTTATTTCAAAAAAATGCAAGAACTACCTGGAGGACTATGTTTCCAATATATAGAACGTAAATTCTTGAAAAGGAGTAATGCTTTAATTTATCTATATCAAGATCACTTAAACCAATTTCATCAGGAGTTCAATATAAGTACAAAAGGATATTACTTGAACGGCTTTTGAATAGCGCCAACAAATTTAAAATTCGGTTATAGGCAAGTGCGCTGCGTTATGATTCCGATAAAGTTAAGATATTTTCTTATAAACTTTACCATATTACCATACAGTTGATTATGATGTCGCAGGTTTCAGTCGTTTCGTGGAAAAAAAAACATGTATTAATTGCCAAAACAAGCCTTTTTGGTTTCATACATGGTAAAGGGATGTGCATTGAAATTTCATGTGATGTATTCGGGTTACGGGGATTAACTATACTTCAGAAGTTTAAACGTTTTCTGAACGAGAACTCTATTTACATATAAAATTATAAGTTCTATTACACGAAAAAAATAGATATAAACTATTCATCAGAAATGAGCACTTTGTTATATCAGATTATTTTTCACCTAAATTAGGGCGCATAACGTGAAAAAAATGAACACATTTTTTCCCAATCCGAACTTTAACGAACCGCCAAACGCATAACGATTTTTTTATTCCAAACATATTTCACGTTTATCACAAGCAGAACGTTTGTGCTGAATCATTTATTCCTTAGCAACGACGTCCCTTTTGTTTCTGTGCCTCCGGGTTTATTAGGTTGCCTAATATTTACCAGCTCACCCGTACCCTTAACCTTCTTTAATAACAAACTGAAGGAAAAAAAGCGTCTTCAGAAATGAAAAGTAACCTCTTTAATCGGGAATCATGATAAAAATTGGAAGTTGCATTAATTCTACAGAACTACTGTCCTGTCTGCCATTGATATAAACATACTAATAATTTTTTTCAGATGATTATTACAGTTATTGAAATACTCTGAAGTTATAAAAACGCTGCTACTATACTGCGTGTCGGCTGTCTTTCAAGTTTTTTATATTGAGGTGACTTGCTTTCACACGAAATCAAATTGATTGGAGTCTGCGGCATGATGTGCATATCAAGTCAAATGACAACTTCTATTTCATTAGTTTATCAAGTTTACCTGAAGATTACACTGATTTGATTTTGAAAATAAATGTCTAAAACAATGACGACTTTTCTCTGTTAGTGTTTTACTATTCTATTTTTGGCATTGGGTATGATCAAGTGTTATTTAAAAATGCGAAAAAATATAGGTGCACAAATGTTATCGAGAGCATTAATTTTATGATAAAGCATTTCATATTTCTATGAGAGCTCGAAAATTGAGTCTTTGTCGAGAATAAGGTAGCAATGTTGCGATTTGATATTTTAGGAGTATATTATTTGCTACTGCACAGCCACAGAAATATTTTATTTGTCAGGTAATTTTGTGTACAAAATAAAACAGCGCATATATAAAGTGATGCGTTACTTAAGATAAAATCAAGCAAATTAATGCATTTTTTTATGGGCTAGAGAAAGTAATAAGCTAAAAACGTATTAATGAATTTTTTGCTTACGGCTGTGAATTCATCAAAATTGCGATTGATCTATTGCACTACCATTGCACGAGCCAACGAGATAGAGGAGCTTAGCTTGATAAACAGAAATCCCATTCTCCCATCTGCCGCCATTGTTCAGCTTATTGACTACTCGTCACGTGACCTCACAAAATACGCGATTTAACTGACAAGATCTCAGCACCCATAACTTGTTAGAGGTGTTCTGCGTTGTCCTTGTTTCAAGCGTGTTGATTTGAGGTGTGGAAGCCGTAATTTTAAGACGGTCAAAAGCAATCTTGAGCGTTTTGCTCGGTCTCACGTATGTATGAGGTGGATGTAAGAAGGAACGGAACTATTCGTACGCATTTCGCTCCCGATTGGCGTGGGTATTGTCACAAAAGGATAAAATCGGTCCAGGGTTGCTTGGCCATTAGATTGATTTGGATATTGCAAGGATAAATGTTAACGTGATGTTTTTGTACCCTCGTTGAGCAGTCAAGTAAATTATTTTCCACCTGATATGGAGCGCACCTCTCGCCCTCTAGGCGACTGGTGGATGCTGAAAAGATTCACCCGGTCTGGGAATCTATTCCTAAATACACCAAGACTAATGAAGCGCTCTGCCAACTGAGCTAACCAGGATCTACGTAAATTTCTCCCCTGTGGATTTTCTTTAAAATCTTTATATCGTATCGATTAGAATGGGAATGTTCGAGATGTGCGGTGAAACGTGTGCGATGTATTTGAATGCACTATTCAGTTAGGCAATTACGTAAGCCCTGCTTGGGAGTGCGCAGCCTCAAATTCGCTTCATTTAAAAGTTGTGCGGAAGAGCTGACTTTAAATTAGCAGTTCCCGTGCGAGACTAGACGAAACAGCGCTGCTTTTCAAGTTGTCATTGCTTCGACATGAGCTTTCACGAAGCACAGGTGCTGCTGTTCAAAACCAAGAAACTGGTCTCCAATCTGTTTTTGTGTGTTTCATTTACAGCAGTCGTCAAAGCACAAGAGAAGAAGGCTCCTTCGGACAGAGCCTGACACTAAAGCAATGCAACTTCTTCACTGACCACAATCCATGCTCCTTAGTAAGCTTTATTATGTCATATTCTGTAGAAGAACATTCAGGCCATAGATGAACTCCCAAAGGAAAGTGCCTGCTTCTCCCCCTGCTTGTCTCATGCTAATCTTGTGGACAATCTTAGACACATCACGAAAAAGAAATCCTTGTAAAATTGTGCATTGAAAACTATGAACCATAAATTTTCGCCAGCGTCAGGTAATCAACAGGAAGTCGGAAACCGAGCATGTTCAGTCATTGTCTCCTCAAGTGAGAGGTTACACTGTAGAGACATAGAGAAACAAGTACTATTTCAATGTAGACCGATTTCCAGCAGAGGCTACGCATGAGGTGGCCCTTAGATAACCTCTGAAACATATTGAAACTAAAATAAATTGGCGAGAAAGCACGAAAATTGACATAATATTATCTGAATAATATAACACTTTTGCAAATTTTTTAAATGCGTCTAATTTCTAATAGTAATTTCCGCCAATGCTGCGATTCCAACATTACCCGTAAAACCACAAATTAAAAAGGTAATTATTAAATTTCAGTTAATTATTCAACTTACGGTGACGATTATCACCTCATCTAATGTCCACCAAGCCTGATAAATACATGGTGGAGACGGCACTTGTGCATATATCACCTTTTCTTTATTCTGTTAGAATAAAAATCAAACAGGTTTATCTGCACCACCGTTACCAGGTGCGGCTACTTTGAAATACGATGACTTGATACTCCGAAGTCCAAACACATTGACTTAACATTATCTTTGCCCCTGTTCGGATGCAAGGTCATTGATAGCCGCTATTGCTAATATTCACATGTAAAAAAAGCCCTAAAATAATAAAGATTAAAATGGATTTTTTTTTGGCAAACGCTTCACTTGTTTTTATAATGATGTTTTAAAATATGCCCAACGTCAGCATTATTTCTTCTCTTTAACAGCAGCCCGTGTTTGCCCGGAAAAACGTTGATTCCTAAACGTTACTTAAATTTAAGTCATGTATGTAGTTCCATAACGTTTACAGGGAAGCTTTTGAGATCTCGTTTGAAACAGTTTTTTGCTCTAATATATTTTGCCCTTCGACACATGGCAATGGCTATATTGTACGTATTTAACGACCAGGTGAATAGACAAAAGGTAGCAAAGCAAATTGTTGTGTGTATGTTTATACAGCCGGAAGGTAGTCTGCCTCAGTGGGCGTCTGGTGTCTGAGCTGTTGATGAACAATTTAGCCAGCGCGGTACAACCGCTAACCTGGGGTCTTTAACGTGCACCGCGCAGTAGTGATACACGATCGCACGCCGGTACAATGCTCATCCAGATCGAAACGGGCAGGGGCGGGATTGAGCCCAGGATCCTGGGTTCTGCAGCGCGAGGTTTCGTTCCACATGCTCCGAGCTGGATTCTGGAACACAGAGAGTAGGGTGACCACCCGTCCCGCGACTCGCGGGACTGTCCCGCATTGAGGGCTCGTGTCCCGCGTCCCGCAAGAAATATCAAAATCGTAAAAATGTCCCGCATTTCAAACTGTCCCAAAATTCACTACGCAACTCACTGAGCTGCCGAACAACGGGGCACGGGGAAGCGTGGTGGTCGCTGGTAAACGTGTGAATCGCAATGGTACACCGTTTTATATCCAAGCGTTGCGGGAAGCGACCGTCGTTCTTTGCAGAAGACCTGACGCGCATGCACCGCTGTGCACCCTCTCTTTAGTGGCAAAATAGTGCAAGAAAAGATTGCTCGACAAAAGTTGAAAAATAAATTATTGTAATTATTTTTAAATCATGCTGTGTCAATGCGAAAGTGTTGCTGTGGAAAAATGCTTTCTTTATTTTTTTTTGTGAAGACGATTACACAAGGCAAAGAATACTGCAACTCACAACGACAAAAAACAACACAAGGTTGAAATTCGTGTAGGAGCATGTTGGTAAAAATGAGACAAACAAATTAGTCGTTAGTTGTTTTATACAGCAGGAGTTTAATCTGCCAGAACATGGCGACATTGTTACCCACTCTAGATAATCAATTTTACCAGTGCAGTCCGACTGCTAGACTGGGGTCTTTAGCGTGCACCACGCAGTAGTGATACACGACCGCACGCCGGTACGCTGCTGATCCAGATCGAAATGGGCAGGGGTGGGAACTGAACCCAGGCTGCCTGGGTTCTGCAGCGCGAGCTTTCGCTCCACGGGCTCCGAGCTTGAGTGCACTAGCCCACCGATTCCCCGTTAAAATAAGAATCGACAGAAAGCAAGAAGCTCTACAAGATTTACAAGAAGCTGTACAAGATTTACTGCATCTTCTTTACTTTTTATGCATTGAGTTCTGCTGCAGTCGATTTTATGTTTTTAACTTGTACACATTTATTAAAGTATATGGAATTTAAACTTAAAATATATTCTTGGGAGTGAAAATTATTTGAGCTTCTATATAATAGGCTTTTGGAGACGAGAGGGTATTAAATATGTGCTAGCAAAGTCACATTTTCTGGCGTGTGTTGATAAATTACACCAAACAGTTTTTTTCATGTTGCTTATTAACCTGAAACTGGGGCAGAAGGAGAAAAGAAAATGTTTCCTCCTATTGTCCCAGTCTTGGGTTAAAAAGCAGCATGGTAAACTTCTAACAGCTCGACTGCGCACTAAGTTATTTTTTGCAGTTGCCGCAGTCGAAATATAATACCATATTTCCCTCTTACAAGCATTCCCCCCCCCCCCCCCCTCCCCCACGGGTCAGCGTGTCCCGCATTTCGCTAACAAGAAGGTGGTCACCCTAACAGAGAGATAGATGAACACCAATTTTAGATTAACTAAACAATGGGTAAGGCGTAGTATTTCGAATAGCATAATCGAAAGCTACACAAAAAATAAAGCACGCCTACCTCGTAAACGCGTAAAAAATTAATGGCTTGTTTTAACTAGCCTCCTCAAGTACTCTAACGACTTGCACTGCGGAAACGTACAATGAAGACTGCCATGCGTAATGAAGGAGGAAGAACTGAACAAAAATTGTAGAGCCCGTCCACTTCACGTGAAAATTGAGGCCCAGCGAAGCTGTTATCTTTACGACAGCTTTACGACAACTATAGGACATCTATACACTCCGTGCGACGCGACCGGCGCGCCGCCGCGCGGCCGTTACCGAAGGTAGGAAGTGAGAGCCCCAGCGAAACGAAATCACGCCGCGTACATTGGTACGCATTGAAGTCGGAGCGGTGCGGTTGCGCTAGGTTGACAGCATGAACTGCTGCGTCGTTAAGTGCTCCAATAGTTATGCGTCGTATCTCGTGGGGACGAAGTTTCACAGTTTTTCACCTCGCCGGTTTTGTGGAACAGCGA